GTAGAATTAATTGTTATGAATGGTAACATGGTTTTTTAAAAATTTACTGCTGAAAACACCATGATTACCTGCTATTTCCAGATGAAGAGGTTTTCCCATGACAACAAACCTCACTGATCACCAGGTATGATCATCAACTTGGCTGTAACTGACTTGTAAACCTATTGCGGTACCAACATGCAGTCTCCTGCTTTGCTGAAATAAAGAATGAGCTACAGATCCGTATTTTTCTGCTGCAAGCCTAAAAAATAGGCCCAATGCAGTTGGGAGATGTGTAGAGGAGGGAGGCAAGTCAGCAGAGGTGAGAGGAGCTGGCAACTGATAGCTTTGTTGCCTGGGTTATATGTGGGATCTATTTTTCTTTGTTGGCAGTCTGGCTTCATGAGTCAAGGACTGCTTCCATCTGACCCAGTTGTTGAACTATTCTCCTTAACCCCAAGTTTTACGCCATCTTTGCCTAAAAAGAGTTCTGGAGAACGAGACAGCTCATCTTATTTGTAACATTGATTGATAAGGATACTGCCCAGGTTTTAAAGGTACTACTCAATTATTGTAACCCAATAACAGAGATCGATATATTTATTATTGTGTCCCTAGAAATAGCCAAGATTGTTTGACTTCTGAAAAATAAAGTTGTCTTGGATAATAAGAACAGCAGGATGTCTAAACGCTGATTCTTTGTGATATTTTATATACCCTTTTTCTACTGTACTAGTACTGCAGAACTAAATACCCTATTTCCCCAAAAATAAGACCTAACCTGAAAATAAGCCCTAGTGTGATTTTCCAGGATGCTTATAATATAAGCCCTACTCCAAAAATAAGCCGTAGTTAAGTGAAACCCCGCCCTCCACCATTGTGCAGCAACCAGAAGAAGATGACATGACTGTATTGGAATAAATGTAGATTGTTGCACATAAAAAAAAAAAATTAAAACATTTCCTGAAAAGAAGCCCTAATGCGTTTGTTTGGAGCAAAAATTAATATAAGACTCTGTCTTATTTTCGGGGAAACACAGTATGGTTTTAAAGTTCATTTTTATAAGATGGATCTAAAAATGCATGGTTTTTGAATACGAAAAGAAGTATGTGTGTATAGTCTTCTTGACTCTACTAATTATTCTCTTTGAAACCAAGGGGTAAGCAATATTGGGATGCAAGTAACATTAAAGGTGTAGAGCAACTCTAAGTAATAGTGAATAATATTTTCTACAAATATATATATTTTCACATGATTTTATAATAAAGTAATGAAATCTGTTCTCTTTAATCCCAAATCTGTAAACTTTAATCTCTTAGTAATTTGTACAGACGAAACAAACTGACAGGACAATTTTTTAAATTTAGCTGGACTATTGTATAGATCACTGTGATATTTAGCATAAATGAGAATCCTCTATTTCATTTTCTTTACATATTCGTAAAACATTTTATTTCTAAGGGCCAGCTTCAACATTTCCAAAAGGAGCCTAAAGAGATATGTAACAGATGATAACAATTTTATTTGAAAAATATCCTACAGTGATTCTCTGTACTTGATCTCATTTCATCAATGCTAACCGAGCATAGTGAACATGGACCAAATGCATTTTTCAATATACTGACAATTTTGCAGGTTCAGATCTTACATTAGCCACCATTCTGACTATAGTCAATCATCGTTCACTTTCACAGAATTCATTTGGGTCCTTCTGCCTTTCCCTGCTATAAACATAACATTATGCACTATTTCAGGTAACTATGCTCTTAGCAAGGAAGATGCCATTTATGTATTCTTCCAGCATAGTTGTTACTTCCAGTCTATGGTCATTTCTATCCTATTGCTATATATGTGTGAAAACAGGAGCTGTATGGGACCATTTGTCTATCCACATGACTCCAATGTTCACATGCAACTACAACAGCATGGGACCTGGATAGAAGAAATAATTCCTACACTGTTAGAGAAGATGATTTCAGAGCAGCTCCATGGTTCTTCTAATTCTCTAGAAGAAGATCACTAAGAGAATTGTGGCTCTTAACCCCTTTGAAATATAGACAACTGTGCAGGCTAAACCCCAGTTCACAAATGCTGATTATTCTTCTACATGTGGCTGTGTACATGACTATTACACTGGAAGAACATGAGTGCCTTTTCTCTGCAAAATGACTAACATCCTGCCTTTGTATGTCCATATAAAATAACTTCATATACTGGAGTATGTATGACTGCACAGAAAAAAAAAAACCAGCCACTGTTTATGACAACCTAATTTTGCTCCTTCAGGAGAGTTTTATTTGTATCCATCTCTTTCCATATATTTTTCTATGAGACAACATGCATTTTAAATTCAGAGAAGCTGTAAAAACATTTTGCAAACTAGTCCTGGTCCAGATGTGGGGATAAGCTGGGGCTCCTGAGACTCAGGACTTACTCTTTATAAGCAGTATGCCTGAACTGCTCCTGCAAGAATGGGGGCAACATAAACTCTGCACATGTGTTTTTAAAATGTTCTGGCTGAACTCTTCCCAGACAAGCCAAGAACTATAGGATATGACTTGGGCTTGTTTGAGAGAAACAAGCCAGAGTTCTCAGTCTGGACAACAGGCTTAATCTGTAATTTATTTGTAATTTATTTGTTTTGCAAGAGGAGCTGAGACAGAGCTATCAGGCAGTGTGACTCATATGAAGCCCTGGCTTCTCATAAAGCCTTCCTCACTAGACCAGAGGTGGGTGGGTGCTCGTGCATATAAACATTCTGACTCAGTTTTGGCCAAGGTAAGTCCTACGGGGAATATATAAATGTGTCACTGGATTGTAGCTTTTATGCTCATCCCCATAAGTAGGATTCAGGGCGACACAAAACTGAATGGGATGCACAGGTCCACAGTGTTATTAATATGCCATAAAAGTGAGGTTTCCAATCTGCACTTTGAAAACAGTAATGTATGAAGGGCAGGGCATGCAAAGTTTTTTAAAAAAATTCCTGGCAGATTCCGCTCGGGCAAAGGTGAAGCTGATCTTTCAAATGCCTGAGTTGGCAGAAGCTCAACCCTTCACTGCATACCCTTTGCATGATTATGTTTAAGATCACAGTTACTATAAGATGCCCAATGGCTTGATAAGCAAACAAGCCAGGATAGAGTCTGTGTCTACTGGATAAGTGGCCAATGACCAAATTTCAGGTTACACAAGGGAACTACTTACAAGTGTGCATGAATAATGAAATCACAGGTATGTATATTCAGTACAGGACTGCAGCATAAGCATCTTTTAAAGGGTCTCAGTAAAGTGTCTCTGTTGATGACCATATTTTAGCTTTAGTGTCAAGCTAGAAGCCATACATGCTGACAGAAGAGTTGCCCTTTACCGACATCCACATTTCTCCGCTTATACACATCTTCACCCATACCTATTTAGGTAACTCTATCCCACTTTAGGATATATCCCTCACAAGGCAGCTTACAACAATGAATATATAAAATATATCAATTAATAAATACTGGAAATAGATCAAACACAATATTAGGATGAAATCAGTAAATTGACCAAACTAACTAAAATAGAATTATAATTTTTTAAAAAATGAACAGAATAAAAATATTTCTAAAAATATATATCGTTCCAAGCATATGTAATTCCAAATGATGCAGGGCATCCCCCAAAACGGCCTGTCCTTGCTACCCACAAATGTTCAGGTTCTTGGCACCAGGTTACAGGGACAGGCCTCAAAGGTGAATCTCAGGTGAGTTCATACGGATGCAGGTGGCCTTTCAATAATCTGCTCCATGCTTGGTGGAGCTTTGGCGCCACCAAGCATGCATGACGCTGCTTGGAATGGCATGGTGGGTTGATAATGAACAATACGTGTGAACACTTTCAAGTAGATTTTGTCAGATTTTGTGATTTGTTTGTTTCTACTGTACAGCAATGAGGGGTGTGTGTTCTTTTTGTACCATAGTTCTCCGGGCAGATTTGAAGATTGGGAGGTGGTGCTTTTCACCCTCACGGTTCCCGCCCCCCATGTTAGTTGCTCAACTTCCTCTGCTTTATGTGATGTGATGTATGGTGTATTTATCTATAATAATGTAAGAAGTACATTTTAAAAGCATAATCTGGCCCCAGACCATTGAGCCTGGAAATGAATAATAACTCATTTAACTGGCAAAGAATGGGTGAAAGATGCTCCTAATATCAAGCCTCCACAATATATAGCTTCACAACAAAAGCAGCTGGTTTTTGTATTGGCTAAAATTCGAAACAGAGCCCCACACAGAGAGCAATTTGTTGGTACTTAATTGTATTTATTTAAAGAGCCTTTTAACAAATAACTACTGCTAGACTAGAGCAACATTACAGCATCACTGAACATCTTTAGAATAAAAGTTTATGAAAGAAACTTTTCAGCAAAAATGACAATAAATTAAAACAATGCTCTTCAAAATAGTTCACAGCAGAACAGGAACATACTGCCAAGGAGTGAGATGCTCCCTACAGAGTATCATCATACAAAACAAAACAAAAGAGAATCTCTATCCCTATGTCTAAGATGCAAGTCAATTGGGCAGGACATTCACCCAAACATGTTTGTCTTTGTTCTGTTCCATCTGATCATCACTAAAATGACCATCCCTTGGGAATTTGAGTGATACAACACAGAGCTGCTTATATGATTGTGATCTAATAGATAAGCCCATCAGGAGTTCTAGCCCAAGACAATTAGCCACCTGAGGGGGAGGCAGACATGATCCTTCTCATTCATGTAATTAAAGGTGCATTAACACCTGAAGCCAGTGAAGTTCTTTTTGGGTAAGAGACAGTAAATCTCAGAAGCAGCACTTTCCCCCTCTTTTGTAATAAAATATAACAGTAACACGTTAAAGGACCAAGAATTTGTTGCTCCTTTGTGACACCCCAAAACTGCTGTCTTGAGGCGTCACAGCCCTCACTGAACAGGACTACCTTCAGCTAATCTCTCCCTTCCACAGCAAAGCATTGTGGTTAATTTATCCATCGTTTACCTGTACTGGAGCGCTGGATGAGAGATGAGTCACATCTCCAATTCTGGCAGCAGCACGGGGGTCACTTGAGCTGATCAGGACAGGGGCACTAATCTCCATGGAATGCCTGTTATTCATAGCCTGAGAGGATTTGTGCGTCATACTGAGAGCAGTGAAGGAGTGGCGCTTCTTGGCATTCTTCTTGCCGTCAATATGCCGCTGAATGGCACTGACTGCTCCGGCACTGTTCAGTGTACAGCACTGGGCCATGTTTATTGCCAGGTTAATGTCAGCTGGCAAAGGGACATCACTGCCAGATCCAGCAGCTAGATTGGTCTTGTCCATCTCAATAAGCTGTTTAGCTGATTCGTTGAGCTAAATGAAGAAATAGAAAAGAAGAAGGGAAGAGGTGGGCATTACAGAGCTGTTTTGTCTGTATAGTCCTAGAATTCAAATCCTATACTCAGGTGACAACTGTTGCAACTATATTTTTACATGCTCCAAGAATGAACAGAGAAGACCCATCTTCCCATCTAGTAGTTCCAACTAGAGGAGGTCCACTGAACCAAGGGGATTACATAAATCTTATATCAATGGGTCTAATCCAAATAGAGACTAGCAACTGGATTTAGGACTGCATGTTTGACTGTTAGCATAAACTAACACAATTATCTTTTGCAAGCAGACTGAAACACAGTGGGCAGTGGTGAGGTTACTGAATAAAAACACCTGATGTTCTTTTAGCACATATTTAATGAATGTAGCAACTAAAATCCCATAGACAAATGTATGAGTGTTACACATAAAACTGTCTTGATGATGGCTCTGTGAAGCGCAAGAATTGGGAATCCCATTGGCAATTCAAAGTGGTGGTGAGGACCGAAGGTGCATTTATTATTTGTTTCTTATATGGTTCTGTAATGTTGCCATGAGGTTGACTAAATAAGAAGAGACAAAAGAGCAGAGCAGAAACCTTGCACAGTATAGCTTCTGCAATTGTGTCACAGGAATTGGATCTTTGTTTATGTAAACCCTAATATATTTTTTTGAGAAAATTGTTTTTCTAACTTTTCTAAACAGAAAAATGTCCTAAACAGATTCTAGAAGTGGTAAGTAGCTTGAAGCACAGAGCGACATACTTTTGAATGAAATGAGGAGGCGTATTTTTGTTATAGCATACAGATCCACAACAAGCTCCCCATATGACTTCATGCATGTCTCTGCTACTGGCTCCTTCAACACTCTGTCAGGTGCAAGATTGAGAAACTAACTGAACAAAAGAAGAGCACCTTTCTTGTTCTCAGAAGTCTACATACTGACAGAGAGCTGATCCACAAAGCCGCACTTTGAATCTCCATAAATTCATCCTCAAAGTAGCTTTCAAATGCCAAAAACAGACATATTAAGTGTTTCGCTATTTCCTTGCACCTTGTGGATCCATGTATCTACAGTTGATTGTTGAATCAATACTTTTGGCTTCCACCTGTAAAGCATGCAGATATCCTGGGAGAAAAAGCACTTGTGCTTTCCTGGGATACCTCCCATAGTCCTTTATATGTGCCATTACTGCATCGTATGTGGAACACTACAAGATAATGACTGGGCACGCTATAAGATAGTGTCTCTCCTTCCACATGGGTGGGGAGGGGGAGGATCAGCAGCAACTGCAGTGCTCTGTACAGTCTGCACTCTGTGAGCAGACTGCCTGTCAGATGCATGGTCTATACTACCTGCACTGCTGAGAAATGCAAACAAGAAACCAGTTTATAAAGAAGACAAGAAAGAATGCTGACAGCCCCACAATCCTCTTCCAAGTGAGCAAATTCCCAGATAAAACTAACAAATATGAGATGCGCCCTACAGACTGTATCACAGTGATACAGGATTTAAAATCAAATTGCTCATTCATTTGGGCTATTGGCTGTTTATGTCTGTATTAATCTGCATGCAACTATAGCTTCCTGAAGCCTGTAGCCTCATCAGTTTGTTGTTAAGTGCTGTCAACTTAAGGCCTGCCTCTGTATTAATTACATCTGAAACATCCACTCCCTAACAGCCCCCCCCTCGGATGTTGCAAACTAAAGATAATGACTTTATTTGCTAAGTCAAACCAGCTCATGTTCAGTCTTGCTTTTTTCCTATTGCCTTCCACTTTCCCTAGTACTATTGTCTCTGTCCAGTGAGACTTGTTTTCTCATGACATGTCAAAAGCACAATTTGCTTCAGTTTAGTCGTTTTAGCTTCTACTGACAGATCAGGCTTAGTATGATAAATAAATTTATTTATTTTATTTAAAGCATTTATAGCCTGCCCTAGATCACAGGATCTCAGAGTGGCTTACCAAACTATCCCAATGCCTCTACTAGGAGGAAGGGCAAGAATAGTCCAGGAAGAAGGAACAGTTTGCACTGAGCTTCATATTCCTCAGGGGCTTACGTAGGAGCTGCCAATATCTGCAAGAAGCCCACAGTTGGCCCTCCTGTTATCCCTTTCTTCTGTTCACTCCCTGTTGCCTTTCTTGAAAACAGAAAAGCAGGGAGAGAAACACTTCTTAATCCCACAAAGAGAGAGGAGAGAAAACTCACTTTTCTGCGTAACCTGGTATCCCCTAACGAGCTGTCCGAAATAAACACTTTTCCTGGACAAAAGAAATTATAAAGATGGATTGGAAAGAAGAGACATAACAAGAGAAACATGGTGTGTCTGCCATACATTGCATCCCTTGTATTCAGCTCCATGATTCTTACTTAGGGCTATCTAGCTGGAGGGGATGTCATTTGCTCTTTTCCCATGAGAATGAGGAAGCATTTTACTCTTGGAAGAAAGGAAGGGGCACACGTTTAATATCATAGTTTATCACTGTAGATCAGGGTTGTTTTTTTAAAATTTCTCTTTTGAAAAAAGTCAGCCACGTACCTACAACTAAGTTCCTGAAATGTAAAATTTCATACTGTTTCATTCAATGGTAGAGGACTTCCACTGCCAATGTGAGACAGTAACATCAGCAGAGGCAGCAAGTGTCTACAGACAGGAGTGAGAGGGTGTCAGTCCAGGTAAGACATCAAACAGTCAGAGCTGAGTTTCAAAGTATGTGCAGGAGTTGAATCAGAGCCAAAGCCAGTAGTCAATCTGCAAATTGCGTACATACGAATCTTAAGATGGTCAAGGCAGAACAAAAAGGAGAAAGTCAACCAGAACAAGAGAAAGTAAAATCTGTCACTGGACTTCAAGCCAACACATGCGAGAATGGCTGGAGCAGAATCTGATTACAAATGTTACCTCCCATACTCTGGGTTTGACTAGCATAGTGGTATCTATTCACTTTGACCAGGGAGAGGCTAGATTGCCATGTGGTGAACAGTTCCATCCTTCAAAGAAACATAAATGGATTTCCTGGACAAGATACTGGACTGCTGGTTCTGGAAGTAACAAACCGAGATGTAACATACTTTTGTCACCCACAAGGTATCTGATGCTGTCTCAGGCTAAGCACTTGAAGCCCTGAGTCTTCTGTCAATAGCTTTCCCACCAGTGCACAGCCCTGTCTTGCTCACCTGACACTCTTGCGGATTAGCAAGCACAGTAACCTTGAGCTAAACACCAGGTAGTACACTTAATCACTGAACTCTGTAGTTGATCAAGGTATCAAGAACGGATTCAGAAGCACCTCTGGCCCCCAACGTTGACAATAAACACCCCAAATGTGGAGATGATTTTGTGTTATTAAAAGGATAAGAAAAAGGGGAAAGTAATTTTAGAAAAAAATAAGCCAAAGACACAGAAGAGTTTGGAAATAAACCACACAACAGAAAAAAACAACAAAGCTTATTAGCCTACTCTATTTTTATACAGGGACCTCCAAGTAACAATAGACAGACTTCTGAGCTTGTATAATGTACATTTCTCAATGACAACAGGATGGGCTAACATCCAAAAACATAAGGCCTATTTTAGCATTGCACTGATCTGCGTTATACTTTTTAACCCTTAGTGACAATGACAGCCAATCCAAATCCAGATTCATTCTAGAATACGAGTTGCACACACACACACACCAATTTAAGCCCGAGAAAGTAAAATCTGTCACTGCCTCCATATCTTCCTGTTCTATTTGCTAGGAGGTGATGGGCCCACTGGCCATGATCTTAGTTTTTTTTGATGTTGAGTTTCAGACCGTTTTTTGCGCTCTCCTCTTTCACCCTCATTACAAGGTTCCTTAATTCCTCCTGATTTTCTGCCATCAGAGTGGTATCATCTGCACATCGGAGGTTGTTCTTCCGGCAATCTTAATTCTGGCTTGGGATTCCTCCAGTCCAGCCTTTTGCATGATGTATTCTACATATAAGTTGAATAAGCAGGGAGACAATATATAGCCTTGTTGTACTCCTTTCCCAATTTTGAATCAATCAGTTGTTCCGTATCCAGTTCTAAATGTTGCTTCCTGTCCCATGTATAGGTTTCTCAGGAGATAGATAAGGTAGTCAGGCACTCCCATTTCTTTAAGGACTTGCCATAGTTTGTTGTGGTCCACACAGTCAAAGGCTTTTGTGCAGTCAATGAAGCAGAAGGAAATGTTTTTCTGGAACTCTCTGGCTTTCTCCATAATCCAGCGCATCTTAGCAATTTGGTCTCTAGTTCCTCTGCCCCTTAGAAATCCAGCTTGTACTTCTGGGAGTTCTCTGTTCACTTACTGCTTAAGCTTAAGTTGTAGGATTTTGAGCATAACCTTGCTAGCATGGGAAATGAGTGCAATTGTACGATAGTTGGAACATTCTTTGGCATTGCCCTTCTTGGGGATTGGGATGTAGACTGATCTTTTCCAGTCCTCTGGCCACTGTTGAGTTTTCCAAACTTGCTGGCATATTGAATGTAGCACCTTAACAACGTCATCTTTTAAGATTTTAAATAATTCAACTGGAATGCCATCACCTCCACTGGCCTTGTTGTTAGCCAAACTTTCTAAGGCCCACTTGATGTCACTCTCCAGGATGTCTGGCTCAAGGTCAGCAACCACATTATCTGGGTTGTCCGGAATATCCAAATCTTTCTGGTATAATTCCTCTGTGAAAATAGGTCATAGCTTTTCCCAAATGCAGTGACTCCCATGCTTGCCTGATAATTGGTAATTCTGATCCAAAAGGATGTTGTAGAATAGATTTTGCATCCCAAGAGGTCCCCAAGAGATCCAACTATAAATGTAGGTAGAACAGAGAGCTATACTGGAACAGCTGCTTTTCTGTTAACCCTGTCAAACTGAATCAAGAACAGACAAAATTTGAGAAGTATACTGTAGAGGTGATTGGTGAATATCCTTTGAATCCAAATCAGATGCCTTCAGTTCTAAAGAACATGACCCAACAGAAGTGCCAATTTCA